GGAGACCTTCCCAGAAACACGGGGTACGAGCGCGCCCGTGAGCCGGGGCTAGGTGGCGTGGTGGTTAAGGGCGCTGGACTCCCACATGGCTGACCCCAGTTCGAGTCCCGGACCTGGTGGCTTACTTTCTCACTTTCCCTCTGTCTCCTTCTCTCTCTCTCTCACTCTGTCTATTAAAAAATAATAATTTAAAAATATGTCTGAAACGATAGTTTTTGTTGTATTCATTTTGCACAACAAAAGAGGCAGACAAGGAGTTTTCAAAGAGCAGCCAGGCCAGCTGCGAGGCCAGGGCGGGCACTGCCAGCGCAGGAGAACATGCCAGGCTGCTGGCACTCCGCAGTAAGCATGGTGACATGGGACCGGACAGCGGTGAGGCAGGACACTCAGCGTTCTACAAGGGCAGCCGCACGGAAGGTTCCGGATTCGCACTGGGAGACCTTCCCAGAAACACGGGGTACGAGCGCGCCCGTGAGCCGGGGCTGCGGAGACTGGCGTAGGAGCGAGACCTGTCGGGTGCTGTCTGCGCCTCTGTCTCTCAGGAAGAAATAAATGAATAAACTTTAAAAAGATGCCTGCGGGACCAGCAGATGGCATAATGGTGGTGTTGCTGGACTCCCACGTAGTCGACCACAGTTCGAGCCCTGGTGGCTTAAAACCCACTGGACGTGTGTGCGTGCGTGCCCAAAATCCTGATGGGAGAACAGAGAAGGGACTGCGGCATGGCCATCCCCCATAGGGGGTGATTTCTCGCTTTCTGTCTCTGTCTCTCTCCGGTGAGTACACAAGCCCTACAGCAAAAATCTCTTAAAAGAAAATACACCTGTGGTGGGAACGCAAGTGCTGGCCAGGGTCCCTGCAGGCCACGCGCGGAGTCCGACTCTACCAAAGAGGGAGCAGTGACCCAGATTTGCATGAGGTCGGCAGGGGCACAGAGGTTAAGGAGCTGGACTCCCACATGGCTGACCACGGTTTGAGTCCCGGACCCGGAGGCTTGAAACTCACTCCAGGAGTGTGCCTCAAATCCCGAGAGGATGGAGGAGAAGGGACTGCAGTGTGGTCACACCCCTGGGGGTGATCTCTCTCTCTCTCTCTATCTCTAGCTCTCTGGCAAGTGCACACACCCTACAGCTAAATTCTCTCTAAAAAAGAAAGGAACAGTGCGCGGAGGCATAGAGCCGCATCACACATGGTGTGCAGGGCACGGGGAGGAGTCGGGGCTCTCTAGTCCCGCGGGTAAGAACAAGACTCGGAAGCAGGCACTCCGCCACCCCTGCTGTGCACCCTGAGGTGGGTCAGGGCTGGACAGAATCAGGGCTGCCTAGGTTAGACGTCCAACTTTGCTATAGGGCACATGCGCTCACTGGAGAGAGACAGAGACAGAGAGAGAGAGAAAGAAACGGAAAGTGAGAAACCACCCCAGGGAAGATGGTCACAGCGCTTCCCTCTTCTCCAGTCTCCTCTCGGGGCTTTAGGCCTGCACACATGCCCAGAGTGCTTTTTAAGCCGTCGGGTCTGGGACTCGAACCATGTTGTGGGTCATATGGAATGCAGCCACCTTAACTTCTGCCCCACCTGCTGACCCTAGATGTCCACTTCTAATACAGATATCTCCTAGAATAAATACAAGCTACTCGAAGGGTTTTTTTAAAGTTAAAATGGTAAGTGGTAAGTTTTATAATATTTGTATTATGTCACAATTAAAAGCAAAAACAGTGGCCCTTGCAAGAATGCACCTCAGTTTCTGTGAACCCCCTAAGCAGTGGGCTGCCCAGGACCATCAGCACAGAGAGGAGTCAGCTGGGAACAAGCAGCCTCGCCCACTTCCCCGGGCGGGGCCGAGGGCACAGTCCCACTGGCCCTGCCACCGACCTGCGGCCCGCCTGAGGCCAGTGTCCCCCCTCTGTGCCCCTCAGTTTCCTCATCTGGAAAGTGGCCCCGCGTCGGTCAGGCGGCCCTGGGGTTCGCCAGCGTGGCCACTTCCTCACGCGCAGCCTTGAGCACTCCTACCCCCACTCCCAGGGAATTCCGGGGCGACCGCCGCACACCGGTCTCACGCTCACCGTGTCCTCTCGGTCCAGTCGATCCTCACACAGAAAGGGCTGCCACCACTGTCCCCTCCACTTTGTAGACAAGCAAAGGGACAGCCCATGCCATGCCGACAAGAGAGGCCACGTCAGGATTTGTGTCCAATCTGTGACCCAACGGATCTCACACCCCCTGGCCTGAATAGCTGACCATCCAGATCACGGCCAAGTCACCGCCTGGCCACTCCCACCTCCGGCCTGGCCCGCCTTGCCCCCCTCCACGCTGGACGTACCTTCAGCCGCGACCCAGAGCTGAAGGGGAGTGATGGGCAGCTGCGGAATGCCACTGCTGGGAGGCGACAAGTCCTCCCACCAATGTGGACCCAGGACAGTCAGCCCAGGAGGCCGGGGAGCAGCAGGGGTTGGCGGCCGTGCAAAGCACTCTTGAGGGCAATCCCACGTGGGATGGTTCCAGGTCAAGAAAAGCACTGGGCTGGCTGAAGGCTGGGGTGGACTGTGGCATCAAGGCTCTTATGGGGCTGGCAGGTGGTCTGGTGGTTAAGGCGCTGGACTCCTATGTAGCTGACCAGAGTTCCAGTCCCGGACCTAGCAGCCTGCTTTCTCACTTTCTCTCTCTCTCTGGTCCAAGTGAAAAATAATAATACAGCTGCAGTTCAAGTCCTGTGTCTGGTGGCTTGGAAATCATGCCGAGTGTGTGTGCGTGGGTGCCCAAGCTCCCAGGAGGAAAATGGATGAGAAGGGATTGGGGCGTGGCCATCCTCCGTGGGGGGTGAGTTCTCGCTTTCTGTCTCACCGCCTCTGTCTCTCTGCAAAGTGCACGCACCCTAAGGCAAAAACCTCTAAAAAATAATAATAATGAATTAAATTAAATAAATAATTTTTTTTAAAAAAAGGGAAGACGATTCTGTGAGGGGCGCTTTCTCTGTTTCTCTGTTCCTGGAAGGAATGAAAAAGTGAACAAGGCCAGCCGGCTGGAGGTTAAGGCGGCCCTCTCATACACAGACACATACAGCGCGAGACGCAGCATTCGTGCTTCCCACGTGGCTAACCCCAAGGTTCGGTCCCAGACCTGGTGGCTCGAGAGACAGGCTGGGCGTGTGTGTGTGTGTGTGTGTGTGTGTGTGTGTGCCCACATTCCTGAGAGGGGGTGGTGGAGAAGGGACTGCGGCACGCCCATGCCTGTGGGGTACTCTCCCTCTCGCTCCCTCTCCCTCTCTCACTGTCTTTCTCTGGCAATTGCACATGTCTCTTGCTAACTAGAAAGAAAATACACTTTTTAAAATGTTTTTAAAAGATGGGCCGCCCCCCAGAGCTTCACTCCGTGGGCAGGTCTTCACCAAAACAGAATGCCGTGTGCACCAGCACCCAGCACCGCTTGCTCCGTGAGGCTGCAGGAGCTCACCCTCCCCTTTTCCCCTTTGATCCGGCTTCCTCACCTGTGACAGATAGGGAACTACCCTAGGGCCTCAGGGGTCTTTGTGGGGAGTGAGGGGCAAGGGGAGAGCTCCCTGCGGCACTGAGCTGTGCCCCGTCCGCTGTGTGCCCCAGCTTGGGGTCTGCAGTAAGGACATGTAGTGGGAGCTGTCACGGGCACTTGTTTCTGTAAAATGGGACAAGCAGTGACAGCCTGGGTGAGGGTGGGCACCCCAGCTGGCCAATAAACAGCAGAGGTTAAAAGGGCAAGAGGAGAGGGACCAGCAGGTGGTGTAATGGCTATGGCACTGGACTCCCATGTAGTCAACCATGGTTCCAGTCCTGGACGGTGGCTTAAACTCAAGCCTGGCACATGTGCATGCGTGCCCAAGATACCGAGAGGAGAATGGAGAAGGGACTGCAGCGTGGCCATCCTCCCTGGGGGGTGATTTCTCACTTTCTGTCTCTCTGTCTCTCTGTCTCTCCAGTAAGTGCACACGCCCTATAGCAAAAACCTCTCTTAAAAAAAGTAAAAGAAGAAAAATGAGAGGAGGCCCTGAAGGGTGGGGCAGGTGACGCTCACTAGGTTACCTCCCAGTTCCACCCCAGCCAGCCCTGACCCTCGGGCAACCAGGAGGTGGAAAAGGGCGGGGGAGCTAAGTAGGACCACATTTTAATTCTGACTATACAATCCCCATCCCTCCCCTGTGCACCCTTGGGCAAGTCAGCTAACCTCTCTGGGCTGCAGTTTCCACATCTGGAACCTGGGGCTTGGGCAGGATTGCCTGGTCTAAGATTTAGAGAATTCTAGGGCTTAGTCCCTGGCTTTGCCTTATCTTCAGATGGAACTCTTCCCACCATGGGTGCCGGTGGGCGGGTGGTGGCTAGGGCACTGCACTCCCACATGGCTCATCATGGCTTGAGTCCTGGACTTGGCAGCTCAAAACTTACCCCGGGTGCATGTGCATGCATTCCCAAAATCCCAAAAAGAGAATGGAGGAGAAGGAACTGCAGCATGCCAATGCCCCGCAGGGGTGGGGGGGCTTATCAGATCAACCTCTGAACAGCCTTTAGAGAATTTCCCATCAGAAAATAAGAAGATGGTAGGGCCAGATGGCCTAGCAGTTACGTCACTGGACTCCCACGTGACCAACAGTGGTTGAATCTAGACCCAACGGCTTGAAACTCACACCAAGCGCATGTGCATGTGTGCCCAAGATCCCAGGAGGAGAAGCGATTGCAGAGCGGCCATACCCCTAGGGGGCGATTTCTCACTCCTCCCCCTGTCTCTGGCGAGCACACGTACCCTATGACAAAAAGTAAAAAATTCCTCACAGTGACCAGTGTCCAAAAGGTGGTGGCAAACGTGAATTATGAAAAAGCTGCTCCTGGTGTTTGAACACTCCACGCACCAAAATGAACTGGTCCTTTGATTCCGCAAAGTTCTTGAAGTCCACGTGTGTCAGGGGCCGTGCTGGCCCAACCAAGCCTCCCAGAGCAGGGACTGTCCTCAACCTACAGAAGGGTGGGGGGCCGAGGCACAGAGGCAGGGCCCCCCACGGCCACCCAGGCCTGCCCAGCAGGGCCTGTGTCTCGCCAGAGGGCAACCTGGTGGGCAGAGGAGGCTCTCCCTCACCAGGAAGCACACCCTCCCCGACAAGCTCAGCCCCGGCCTCAGGCACTAGCTGGAGTCCTCCTACCCGGGCACCCACAGGCGTGTGCGCACACTCATCCAACGCGCACGTGTGCACGCGCTTCACAGACAAGAAAAGGAGGCCCAGAGAGGACAAGTCGTCCGGGCCCACTACACAGCCGAAGGGGCTGTGAAATAAATGTGGGCCCCCTGCCCCGTCTAGCCCCACGCCCCCTTCCACTGCACTCAGAGGGACAAAGGCGGCCAGTCCCAGGTCCCCAGCCCCGCCCTCCTCTCCCTCTGGAGCCCCCTTTGTGTGGGCAGACAGGGAGGGGCTGCCTGAATGAACCTCGGATTCAGCGAGAGGAAGAGGGGAAGAGCCGGGCCTG